ATTGCACTAGGCTTTTGAAGTTTTAGTTTAGGTCTAGGTCCTGGTGTGACACTGTAGGATTAGCACTAGACCACTAACCACAAGGTTCAAACCCACTAGCTGTTCCTTGGAAACTCTACACAGGGTCGCTATGAGTCAGAAATGGCTGGACAGCATTTACCAACAATATGAACTGTGCTAGGAGCCCTGATGGCTTAGTGGGTTATGTGTTGGGCTGCTTACCTTATCAGCAGTTCAAATCTACCAAGCGCTCCATGGGAGAAAGATGAGGCTTCCTACTCCCATAAAGATTTACAGCCTCAGAAACCCTATGCTGTTGTTTAGTGCCCTTGAGTCAGTTCTGACTCAGGGCTACCATGTTTTGGGGTTTCCAAGTAGCAGCTCGTGGATTTGAACTGCCGACCTTACAGTTCAGACCAACCTTGCAGTCCAGTGCTTATCCTACAGTGCCACATAGGGTTGCTATGAGTTGGAACCATGAGCTCTGGTAGTCAGTATCTATGGAAAAAGGAATATAAACAATGGTTTGCTTTTCAAGAATGTGTTCATCCTTCAAGGCTCTGTTCAACTTCATTCAACAAATACTCACTTAGTATCTCTCAAGGTCCTAGTTCAGTAACATCTAATACAGCTTTGTAATGTTCCAACAGAAGACCACATAGCACTGGCCAAAGTGGTGACTGAACACTTGAACTGGGATAGTGCAAACTGAGGAATGGAATTTTTATTTTGATTTCATTTTAATTATTTTAAAGTAGCCAAATGGGACTGTTGTGTTGTCATTAAGTGCCATAAAGTCTGTTCCAACTTATAGCAACTGTATCGTTTCAAGGGGTGGCTGGCGGGTTTCAACTGCTGACTGACAGCATCACACCAGAACTCAGCAACCCTGTAAAGGGTTTCCAAAGCTGTAAATATCTATGGGATTACAAAGCCTCTGTTTCCCCCTTGGAGGCTGGGAGTTTGAAGCACCAACCTTGTGGCTAGCAGTCCAATGTTTATCCAACAGGGCCACAATGGGGCTAGTGGCTACCATACGAAATAACCAAATGGATCTGGTGGCTAACATACTTTTAGATTTAGTACCACAGAAGTGAACAAGACAGACAAGGATCCTGCCTTCATGAAGTTTACACTCCAGTGTGAATGATAATACA